GTTACATGGCTTCAGCTCCAGCCTATTTCAGATGACTATCCAAGAACTGTGCTTTGCTTAAGCTATTACAGGTTCCCCCAGCATCTATCAGTGAGATGTTGTAGTAGTGACCTAGAGTCTGCAGTTCTACAATATTCTAGTTATTTGTCCATTCTGGATCCCCGTGGAATTTATATTAATGTATAAAAGAAAAAAAAAACCAGGCGTGTTGATTGTCCACACCCATGTTGGAAGAGACACTCTCTCCAATTCTGCTCCAGTTCCACAGATGCAATTCCCTTTTAACTAATACCTTAGGCTGGGTTCATTTTCTTTTAAAAGGTTGAAATGTTCTTCCCAAATATGTACTTTCCCTGCAGTTATTTTGCTTTTAAATACACCTTCCTGGCTTCCCCTTGCGTAGTTTCAGTGTTTCTTTTATCATCTGTATTTTTTTTTTTAACTCAACACAAGTTTTGCAATATCTCACTACAATTTAGTATGGATAAATAAAATGAGAAATGGGAAGTATTATGGCAAATTTCTCCCACTATATTGAATCATCAGTTTATTTTGATTGCCAAACAGTGAAATCTGTGTAATCCTATAAATCAGAGATGAAAAAGCCTATCATGGTAGGTAATACAGTCCATCCTCTTGCTGGAGACAGATTATTCCCTACAGTACATTTTTTAGTGCATTGTGCATTCTCTCTTTAGCAACTGGGCTTCCATTACCTCCCATGTGCAACTAATCCAGATGCATAACTCTCCCATTTCACAGCACCACCAAATTCAGAATGATGGATTAAATTAAGTCAGAGGAACCTCAGAGTTTATCTGGCTGCCTGACTCATCTCCATGAGTTTTCTCAGCTACCTCTAAAGCATGCCCAGGGACAGGGACCATATCTTCAGCGTGTCTCACTGTGTTCTTCTTCTATGGTGTTTAATTTGCAGATATGATAATGGACATAACTATTAATTACTTCAGTATTTGCATTCTATCAAATAGAGACTCCAAGCAAGACGAGGGTTTTTTGTGCTATGTAGTATACAAACACAATGTGAACTCCAAAGAGTTTAAAATAGAGACAAGTTAAGCAGACAAAGGAAATGGAGGAACAGAGAGTACCCAATGTAATGCACTGCTATGGAGAGATATCTAATTTGCACTAGAAACATTATAGCTGCATTAGTAAAGAGCTCTACCCAAGCTAATACACTCTAATAATGCTACTTAGCAGAGCTAATTTGCCTGGGCAGTGCGCCACACAAACAGATTTCTGGTTCTTCTAAGAACCCATGTTAACTTGGTCTGAGCTAGCTTATGCATATCTCTACTTGGCACAGGACTATGATGTGCTGACATACCCAGAGAAGTGAAGTCTTTTTATCCATGATCACACTTTAAGTTGACCCCAAACACAGGTCCTCTATTCACTCGACAAGAGTGTCAAACTTGCAAACCAGATCCAGACCCACCTCTGGAAGCAGAGCTAGTTGTCAGGGAGCCACAGAGGTTAACACAGCCATTGCTGGCCTGCTGCCACCAAAACACACCCCTAACAGGGGGCCTGTACCCCAAAATTCAGTGGCAGGCTGCACCATGGCACACACCACCCCTGAATTCCTCACCCCTCCAGAAGCCCTAAGGGCTGGATGAGACAGCTCTGTAGGCCAAATGCAAACCTCAGGCCAGATGTTTGCACCCCTGCAGTAGACCTCCCTGGTTTCTACCCCACCCAGTTTTGTTAGCTGTTATATATTAGTATTTCCTTATCAGCTATATTCTGGTCACAGATTGAAATAACAAAACTCAACTCTTCAACACGATCCTACAGTATTAGAGACTGAATACCCATTACAGAAATACTCAGGTGAGCTTAGAGCACCCTTCAAGAATAAGTATGCATAACTGAAAAATAATATTGAGGTCCTGGTAGTAACCTGGAGTTATGAACAGCCCTGTTTCATTCAGAAAATTTCATTTTTTCTTTAATTAAACTAAAAAATATATTTAAGAACTGTTGCCCCCCATTCCATGCAGAGCTCAAAGAATGCTCTATGTGCCAATTCTAATCACCCCCCTCCGTGCGATACCCCCACCAAAGATACTTTCCAATGATGAGCCTTATGTGAGCTTGTGTCTCATCTCTCCTATTGCCCTTGGGCATTAACTCAGTTTATTTTCTCCAATTTAAAATAACTATTTCTGTTTATCAACTCAACTTTCTTTTTAGGAATTATTCTGTTCTAAATATATGAGCACCTTTAGAAATAGACTATTGAGAGGAAATACATACAGATATTAACAACTGAAATACCCTCCTCCTTTTCACCCAAATTACATTACATAGTCTAGTATGTGGAAATGGCTAATGATCCAATCAGCACAAGCACATGTTTCAAATTAGGATTTTAATAGATAAGCACTAGATGCAGACTTATCATGTAATTATGCAGCTGGAAAAATGGAATATTTTGAAATGATTGCTTTTTTTGTTGCTGTAGTCTTTTGCAGGAGGTTCTTTATCATTTAAATTTGTGGTGCTTACTAATTGCATTTGATAGGCAGGACGTTCAATTAATGTTACCTGATACGGTTGGTTTCAATAAGGATGGTGGAGATTGGAACTCTGGTGGCAATAGGAAAACCGAGCATTTTATGGCCATGAATAATGGGACCACAACTCACAGGAACCTTTATATATTTCACTTGTACATTCTTGGGAGGTCATTTTCATCTATTTATTCACCTTATGGCATAGCCCTTATTGCTGTAAAATTTGAGGGGTTCCAATTTAAAAATACACTGATATTTACAAAGATAACACTATACCATCTAGAAGCAAACTTGTGTGTAGCACTACAGTTCACTTGCTATTTGCAGATGATACCCTTCAAATTCAGTATCATTTATGTTTTTGTCACACAAGGGATGGAACATAAATCCATCTGGGATCTGCCATATGTTAGACCACTGCTCCATTTTAAGCAGCATCCTGGCTCCAAAATTAGAAAATTCTTGATGAAGCATACACCAATACCACAATGACCCTACTTAACTGTGTACTGGAGTATAGTTGGATCGGTCATACAGTGGAAACCCTGAAATATAAAATGTGTTGGCTTTAGTTTGCAGCAACTACAGCATTAACAGTGAAAATATTAGTTTTACTCAGCCCTCTGGGAATACTTCATGTTTTAAAAGCTTATGGGGTCAAAAGTCCTTGGACCAAACTAGAATTAGTTCTCCGGGGGCATGTCTCCATGTGCAATTAATGTGCCTGAATTTTCTGTGCAGAATTTTCTGCGCCCCCACATGCATCTGAACGTGTGCCCATCAGGAGTAAATTTGCTCCCAACACGATTTCAAATCCAGGGCTGCTCCTGCCCTGCTCCAAACTCCTGCAGCAGCCAGGGGGAGCTCCAGACCCAACCTGGCAGGGGGGATGGGTGCTGGTCTTGATTTCCATGGGACGAGAAAGAGCTGTCCTGGCTACCAGGCAGCTGCCTCCCTGGCCTGTGGATATCAGGATGGGTCCCAACCTCCACAGCGCTGGGAGGCAGCTGCCTGACAACTGGGACAACTCTCCCTGCCCTGTGAAGATTGGAATGGGTTCCGATCTCCATGTGGCTGGCACACACCATCCTGCCAAGCTGGGACGGCTCTCCCTGCCCCCTGTGGCCCCAGGCTGATAGGCACCCAGCAATTTGCTCCTGGTCAGCATCTACACTTGCACTTTGGCACATTAGTTTAATACACAGATTTCTAGTACCTGTATCTACAGGTACTAGGAAATGGTACATTAGACTAATCTACTGCAAAGTAATTGTCATGCGTGTTTAGATGGTAACTCTTTACTGTGCATTAGTCTACTGCGCAGTAAAGTGTCTCATGTAAATGCACCCTAGGATACTGAAGGTTACACCGAATACCAGGGGCAGCCAGTTATTTTGGGTGGAGGGCCATTTACCGAGTTTTGGCAAGCTCCATAAACCCCGACTAGCCCATGACCTGCACTCCTGACACCCTGCTCTGGGGCCCACCAGCACTGGCCCCAGGACACCAGCACAGGCCCCACGCTCCCATGCACCTAATCTCTTCCACTCCCCCTAACCCCCTGCCGCCTTCTCCACTTTTCTGCCCACCCACTGGCCACTCCTGTACCACATGGTTCCTGGCTGCATGGCCATGACTGTAGGACTCAGCTGGAGCTGACCTGGCCCTGAGGACTGGGGTGATCACCCGCGGTCCTCCCATGCCCCCCCCACCCCCTTCCCCCCACCATTCTTACCTGAATTTCCTGCTCCAGTGCAGGCAGGCACAAACAGCTTCACAGTCCCAGGCCAGAAGTGTCTGTTAGGCAGGGGCTTCTGGTTGCAGGGGGTGGGGGCAGGCAGGTCTTGCTGCTTTTGGGTCCTGTCATCTTTGACAGGCAGCCAGGGGCAGATAAATATTGATTTTCTGAAGGTTTGGGGGCCTTGTGGGTTGGATAGAATGGCTTGGTGGGCCAGATCCGGCCCGTGGGCTGTATTTTGCCCACCCCTGCTGTATACCCTTACAAGGGAGTAAAGAAGAATGAAGGATCTTCAAAGTATAATGGCCCAGATAGGAATTATCAACATACTTCCTCTAGTTCACAAATTTCTGGAAACTAGGAACAAAAACCAGACTTGGTCTTTGCAGTATAGTTAACTTTTGAATGATATTAACATACCACAATACTTGCAGCTTTTCCCTTGCAGCCACAGGACACCAACTGGCATTGTCCTGTTTTACTTGTGGCCGGTTAGGACCTTGTAACTGTGCAACAGAGTTGATTGTTTAGTTTGAATAACAGGTTGGAAAAGGATGTGTATGGGATGGTTTGGAAAGGGATGATCTTGCCTTCAGCATGGGGCTGCACTAGGAGGCCAGTGGAGGTCCCTTGCAGCCCTACTTTTCTATGATTCTAAGGTAATATGGAGCAAAAAACCCAAAACAAAACATGAGACAACACACAGTGATAGACCTGCAATTGGGTTTTATTTAACAAATATTCTAGTTTAATTTACTTTTTAAACAGATGATGATTATTATTTCAGAACAGAAATAAAAAATAAAATTATGTTTGAACAATTATTTTAAATAATTTTCACTAGCATCTTCACACTTGAGAGTGTTTGGGTAGAAAGTAAAGGGAACAGGCTATGCTGGCCATTCTCCATGAACAATTCAGAGAATATAATAATGGCAATAGCAAAAATAAGTCTCCAATGAAAGGTTACCATATCCTTATCATTAAGGACACATGCATTGGCTAAAACAAACTACATTGGCACCAAATAAATCTTCACATGGGCAAATAATTTGGCTACAAAAAAGAGAAAAAAAATTAACTGAATCATTGTCCTACAAAATTACTTTCTTTAATTATTGTGCGTCTTTAATGAGGAACTTGGGCTGCTTCCCTTATACTCCCTGCTCCTATCCACTTCAGATTCTCAGCAGAGGAAATTTTCCAATCCCTTTGCTCAAGGCCATGAGCAGCCGTACCTATTTTTGTCTGAGATGGGCTGGTTTGTACTCTGAAGTCTATTAAGGCCACTTCTAGTTTACCAAAAACAGCAGTGTCTGAACAGCAATGGGAAGTCCTGTCTCCCACACAGACAAGAGGCTCTTGCTGCTGCAGAACAGCCAGACCAGGCCAGCCAGGACAATGAGAATGGCTACTATACCCAGGAAACTCTCTCTGGCTGTTATCATGGCAGCACAGACTGCAGAGAGGCTCACCAGACCAACTCGCATCGCTTTAACTTAACCCATTATTATTATTGTTTTGTGGTTGTTTTTACAAGGATTGAGGTACCACCTGGGGATTGCAATCAAAGATCAGGGCCCCAGTGTGTTAGATATGGCACAGACAGTGAGGACAAAATGAGTTCCTGACCTAGAGAACTCACAGTCTAGGATAACCTAATAAATAGTAGCTCTCTCTTGCAGTACAATAAATCTGTATAGGTGAGTTTTTCTTCTTTTCTTTATGCTGAACACTAAAACATATATGTCACAATAAAGTGCAGCTGTAAAGTTTAGTAAATCATATTGATTATAAACCCAAAGAGAGAAAAAGCTATTTTTTTTCTCAAAGTGAATTGTGTTTAGCTTCCTGTTTGTTAAAGAAACCAAATTGAATAAATCCATCTTCTTTTGCACTTTGTTAAAAATACTATTTCATTATAAAGTCCTTGGTAAACACACCACTAAAGCATGCTGTAACTGAAATGGCTCAAACCTCCTAACTACCAACCCAAAGATCTCAAAATCACACAGTCCCCTTTTATTTATCTAGCACCTTTAAGAACCCCTGACCTTCTGCTTATTGTTGTGTTGCCAACTCCTACAATTCTATCATGAGTCTTTCGATATTTGGTGTTTTTCTTATGGCTCCAGCTCTTGAACCAGAATCTCAGAATCTGAGCTTCCAGTTCTCACTTCAGAGAAACCCTTTAAGAACACACAAAGACTTAAAAAAAAAAAAAAAAGCTAAGGTGTCTCTGTATTTGCCTTCTATTGGATATCTGTATTTCTTTATAAATATCATGTTCTTGAAGACAAGTTCCTAATTTTGCAGCTCATGAATTTTCAATGTTTGGGGCTGGCAGTACTATTTCTCTTTCCTCCTCACCCCATCTATCTGCTGTTCTACCACTAAGGTTTGCATGAAGAACGAAGAGGTCCAAATTTCTGATAGAAATCACCTTCAGCACGAACCAGAGCTTCCTCATCTATGTAGACAGCTGGTCTTCTAGAGGCCACAAAGTACTGCACCTTTCTCAGGTTCCATCCCATCACATACTTTAACCAACCACAAATTGCAGCTGTGGACCTGCCAACGCCGGCATTGCAATGAACGTAGACAATGTGTCCGTTCTCTAGCAGCCCATGGAGAAGGCAGACAGCCTGAGGCAACATCTGAATTCTTCCTAAGATTAAAAAACAAGTTACAGTTCATATGCATTCAAGAAAGTTAGAACTGCTGTTAAAAGTATGTCTCAACAGCCTGTTTTAAGTGAAATTATACTGGCAGGCAAGGAGACATCTAGTAAAGCTTGTTTCCTTTTTTTTTCTTTAGTAGGGAAATATAATAATATATGTAGATGTTATGGACTGCCAGATAGCAAACACCTTTCTAGACAGCCAAGGGCCAATATTTTCAAGAGAATAATCTGAAGCATCTACATTGAGACACATTACAGATACTTAATATTAGGTATGCGTTATGCTTTTTCTAAAAACTGGGCCCTCTTACTGGTTGTTCAGACAAAAATCACAAAACAATTTTGGAAATTTTGGCCTGGATGTGAAATCAGTAACAATTACTATCAATAATCATCAATTAACTGGTATTCATGTCAATGTTCCCAAATGCCCTTCCTCTTTAACCATCTCCTTACTGTTAAGTTAGAGGTCCAGGTAATGTGAAGTTAATTTAAAGCTGGCTCTCATACCTTCTTGGAAAACAGACTATGATCTATCCTAAAATGCATATGGCAGGCTATATGTCATCCAATATGGACAGAGATGAAGCAGCCATTGTATTCTGTATGACATCTTGTTTTGTTATTAAAGCTAGGGAGCCAGAAATTTAATAATTTTGATATATCATGTCTCTGAAGCCACTCATATTCCCTTTAATTGCTTATGTCATTCATAGAACAAAGACAATAATAATAATAATAATAATAATAATAATAATATTTTGCTAGCAGAAGCATAAATATGTTTAACAAAAATAACACAGACAATTTAACATTCACAACAGAATTGATCCCAGAACTATAAAAGGAAAATAAGTATTAATTTGATTTCTGTTCTGATATGGTCATCTTGGATAACATATATGGTAAAACACAGCTGATAAGATAGTAAATTAATTCACTGCCAAGAGATCCCCTATAGATGGTGTTATTAGTACAGTCATAGATGAACTATTGCCTTTAATGGCAACATAGTGCCTCCTCCAAAAAATCAACTTTCACTGAAATATAAATGTAGTTTTGCAAGTGACTGGAAAAAGCCAGTTGCATTTTCAATTTACAACTAAAGTACTGAAAATATATTTTGCATTTTGCGCAAAATACATTAAAAAGAGCATCCTTATAAATACATGCCTCTGTGGCATTTTTTTTCTTTTGCAAATTAGCAGCTGCTATACATTAAACCGTCACTAAAAGCTCTCTACAAAAATGTTGTAAACTGGAACATTCAGTACCAAGACCTGCCCTCTATACCATACATAATTTTGAACAGAGGCAAAATGACATAATCAGACATCTTGCACTATGTATATGTGTTATGGCTTGATCATGCTCTGATTAAAATAAACAGCAAACCTCTCACTGCCTTAAATTGGCATAGGAGGAGGTCCTAGGTAGGTAATTAGCATTTTTAGAATCATGAGGTTGCCATGAGCCATTTTCTCCAACGACTTTCATATGCTACTACCATGTTCCAAGGCTCTGTTTTGAGGGCCCCTATTCCTTTAGTTGTCCATCAAGTGACAGCGAACAATCTTTTCACCTTGAGGGTGAAGTATACCATATCTCTACAGTTCCCAGTCCCTATTACCCTTTCAAGTCAGGCTACAACAAAGCCTATTTAACCTATGGAACATCTGAGCAAAAAACAGTAGGTCAATTCATATGCCAGTTTCAAAGTTTTATCTTCAAGAAAGGTATCTAACCAAAATTACAGTTCTCTACATGTGGCTGCAACATTTCACTGTATAAAGATGCCCTACATATATTGGAGTAGCACTGATGTAAGAAAGCCCTGGAGTTTTCCAGCCTTTTGGTTAGAAATAAAATGTATCTATTCATCTATTTTCACTGGTGAACCCAGGATTCTAAGTGGGCAAATACAAATCCTAATTTGTGTTATATTTTGGTGTCTTCTATTTATCCTAAATAAATTCAAAACTATTATACTTGACAGTCCAAGGAAGTAATGGACTAGCAGACTGCTGAAAAGAGGCAGAGAGTGCCAGAACAGGATATCTTGTATTGCCTCTCAGCAGGTGCAGCAATTTCAGTGTCCAGCTGTGTAAGCCAGCGACCACACATGTGATGTGCATGTTTTCATGATAGAGACTGAACTAAAGCTGAAAGAAAAGTTTCAAAGCAGCTACCAGTTTCTGCTGGGTTTTAAATGGACACCCATACACATAGACACCATCAATAGTAGCTCAGAGGATCTCTCTGCATATGACAAAATATAAACAATCCACTAGGGAAATCACAACAAAATTACCATTACTACTGCTATGATCCTAATTAAAAACAAACTATTCATAAAAACCACATCAAAGAAAACATTTTATTGAAAAGCTTTGCTAATACTTTGCAATACCGCTTTGAGCATTACCTTCTGTACTCATGTCTGGAGTTGGCATCCAGACGTATACGAGCCCTTCCTCCTTATACAGTTTCATGAGGATTTCTGGACTCATGGGTTCTGGATAGCGGTTGCAGCCCCAGGAATTCTGGTTGATATCCCATTCAGTCTGGAAATTCATTACAGCTGTAACACCCAATTCATGTTTTAGCTTGATAGTCACATGCTCCACCTGCCGAGGGCAACTTCCCAGCCAGATGTTTGGCAGAATTCTAGCACAGAGAAAACATTGGAGTGCAGGTCATTAAAGTCTTTCAGCAAAAATGACACCCTCATTCTCATACAAAACGCAAATTTTCTGTCAAATTAAGTGGCTCAAGATCCAACTAGAATTATATGTAACAGATTGTTAACAAACTCTTATGTCATATATTAAAAAGCTTCTAATTTCTTTATGGCATAAGCAGTAATGATGTATTCTGAAAACCAGATTATAAACCCAACACCAGAGCCAGATTTGCTTGGCTTGTGTAGATGGCAGCCTAACAAAATCATACCATAATTAACAGCAAAGGTACCAGTCATCAGCTCCTACAAAGGAAGCTAACAAGTACATAAAACCCACCACAAAACCCAGAAGACACACAACTTTTGTGAGACGGAAAGGGAGACAACTGTGGAAAGCTATAGAAACAAACTACAAGCTATGGAACGCTTGCTACTTTACCGATACTTTTGAAGTGAGCAAAACAAATCAGGCACCAGTTTAAACCAAATCAAACCTCTTGTGGTGTTCACAAAAGTCTGTATTTCAGACTCTGAACTCCAGACAGAGAGGGATGAAACATATTTGGCCTCCTTGGAAACTAGAAAAAGCAGAAAATATTGCAAGAAAACACGAGAGGTTTGGAGAATTTGGACAAACATCCACATTTTGGAGGATTACCCAAACCAAACCTTCAAACCTTTTGAGGTTTGCCCGCAACCAATTATCATGAAAATTATTAAATGCCTTGGCAGTCTTTGGCACATAAACAAACTAAAATAGCAAGGGCTTTATTCTGAGGAAGGGATTTCTAATTTTCACATCCAAGTAACATGATTTTATTCACAATATTTTCACCATTCCTGTGTAAGTGCAAACAATTAACTGTGCATATAACTAGTCTTGTATACACTGAACTATCAATTTTGCATCTGCAATCACAATAACCACATATGTAAAATATGCAAACTGTGGCATATGCAAATTTGTGAATCAGAGACTAGGCCAGCATCATGCCAGTGACAGCAAGAGTACACCCTTCAAATATGAAATGTCACAGATTTTCTGAATTTTAATAATTTGCATACAAGCTGTGGAGCCCTTGCTTCTTCTGGTAAGCACACTCATGCTCACATGAGTAGTCCCACTAAATTTTCATATGGATAGCCCCACTGCATTCATTGTGGCTATCTCAGGGAGAAGTGCTGGCTAGCAGAGGTAAAGACCTGCCAACCAGTACTTGATAGATTCATAGATTCATAGATGCTAGGGTTGGAAGGGACCTCAAAAGATCATCAAGTCCGACCCCCTGCATAGGCAGGGAAGAGTGCTGGGGTCAGATGACCCCAGCCAGATGCCTATCCAGCCTTCTCTTAAAGACCCCCAAGGTAGGGGAGAGCACCACCTCCATTGGAAGCCCATTCCAAATTTGGCCACCTTCACTATAAAGAACTTTTTCCTGATGTCTAGCCTAAATCTATTCTCTGTCAGTTTGTGACCATTGCTCCTTGTTACCCCAAGAGGTGCCCTGGTGAACCAAGCATCTCTGATATCTTGCTGCATGCCGCCCAAAAATGAATTTCTAGATGGCCACAAGATCACCTCTCAGCCTTCTCTTGCGGAGGGTGAAGAGGTCCAGGTCCCTCAGTCTCTCCTCATAGGGCTTGGCCTGTAAGCCCTGAACCATACGAGTGGCCCTCCTCTGGACCCTCTCAAAGCTATCCACATCCTTCTTAAAGTACGGTGCCCAAAACTGAATGCAGTACACCAAATGTGGTCTTTCCAATGCTGCATAGAGGGGAAGTATCACCTCCTTGGTTCTATCTGTCATGCATCTGCTGATGCATGATAAAGTGCAGTTAGCTTTGCTGATGATTTCATCACACTGACAACTCATGTTTATGTTGGAGTCCGCTATGACTCCGAGATCCCTTTCTGCTTCTGTGCTGCTGAGAGGGTTGCTTCCCAGCCAGTAGGTGTGCTGAATACTTTTATGCCCTAGGTGCAGCACTCTGCACTTGTCCTTGTTGTACTGCATCCCATTGTGTTCTGCCCACTTTTCCAACCTGTCCAGGTCTGCCTGCAATTGTTCCCTACCCTCTGAAGTGTTCACTTCACCCCACAATTTAGTATCATCTGCAAACTTGGACAGAGTACACTTCACACCCACATCCAAGTCACCGATGAAGATATTGAGGAGTTCAGGGCCAAGGACCAAACCCTGCGGGACCCCACTACCCACATCCTTCCAGGTCGATACCAACCCATCTACTACCACTCTCTGGTTGCAACCCCCAAGCCAATTTGCCACCCACTGGACCATGTAAACATCTAAGTCACAGACTCTTAATTTATTTATGAGAATGGGATGAGATACCGTATTGAAGGCCTTCCTAAAATCCAGGAAAACAACATCCACCTCTATTCCTGTGTGTAAGAGTTTTGTGACCTGGTCATAAAACAAAACCAGATTAGTCAGGCAAAAAAGAAACTACCAGTAGTGGGGTTTGAACCCACAGGAATATACATCCATTAGATCCTAAGTCCAACACCTTAACCACTCAGCCATCCTGGTGTAGGGTTACAATACACTCTAATGACTCAAATCCTTCAAACTACTCCTATAAGATTACTAGAACAGAATTTAGTATCTCTGGGATTATACTCCTTACATATTTATAAACAAGCCAGCCTGAGTCAAAAAAGGCTGAATGAGGGCAGCTTATAAAAAAAAGATACGATTATAAAGACAAATAAAATAAAATTTGTAATAGAACAAACTCCCCGAACAATGCCACAATACATAACCCTGCTTGCTGGGGGCTCACCTAAATAAAAAGGTCCTGCAACTCTTCTGGATGATGCCCAGGCTTGGGCTCTGATGAATCACATGGAGGAGGGAGCTCCAGAGCTGAGCAGCAACTACTGACAATAACCTCCCACATTTTTGCCAAATGAACTTGGCACACAGATAGTAGTTGGAGCAGGATGCTTTTGGCTGACCTTAGGGATCGCCATGGGACATAATAGAAAAAGGGGATCCCTTAGCTATGTAGGGCCAAGACCACTTAAGAGTCCTGGATGGAGACCACTTGAATTAGCCAGGCCATTCACTACCTGGAACAAGTTCTTCTAGACAGCAGTAATTACAGATGCAATGGCAGTGGGGAAGAAAAAATATTTTAAAATGCATTCCTGTAGGGACAGAAACAGCTTCAGCTAAACATACAACAGAGCTCAGGAACTAGCTGAATATGAAGATAAAGACCACAATTCCAAAATATGGTAATTGCAGCAGGGGGCTATCTCCCGGGTTTATAAATAACAGATGAAAGCCCCACCTTGGGGCATATTTATTAGACAGCAACCAACTGTACCTTGAGGATTGTCAGCTCAAGTTATGATAGCAATTTCTATTCATGTCACTACAGCTTGTTTGGCTAGACACAGTTCATTTGGTTCAGCCTTAATGAGACTGCTAAAGTGATCAGTATAACATGTCCTAGAATAGACAGTGATAGCTCTGCCTTCCCTCACTGGTGCAGGATGTTGATGGGTGTAACACAGGTCACCCAGTGCTCACTAAACATAATCAAGCTTTAACACTGTAGCCCAAGGAAACTAACATTTATGCCACAGAAAACTCATTTAATTTGTCACTAGTCTTAGTTCTACTGCTTGTTCTGCATACTCTATATTCTTCAGACGACTAAGCAGAGAAAAGAAGAGGAGAAATGGGAAGCTCAGATTTTGAGGCCCTTCCTTTCTAAACCTACAGATTAAATTTATTTAGTTTTATACAAAATATCAATACAAAACCAAACCAACAGCTGTGCCCACAGACTACCAGAATAAATCAAAATAAGGTACAGGTTTCCGTATTGTCAGTAGGTCAAGTCTGAGCCCAATTCTCAGGTATATTAAGAAATCTTGGTATTGTTCCCTACATGGATAGCTGCCTGTGACAGGGAACCCAAATCCTGTCATGAGGAAGAAGGTGTGCCCCTATAAGGCTAGAACCTTCTGGGCATGGAGGGCTGGTGAGGAAGGGGTTAACTGCTGAACTGGGACAGCTAGTCAGCTGACGGAAAGAGGAAAGACTATAAAAACCCTGGGTTGAACAGCAGTAAGGAGGTCAGCAGCCGAAGGGGAAGCAGTGCCCCTGAGAGTTCCAGAAAGAAGTTTGGGGAGCGGTCCATGGCAGGAAGGGGGAAGCTACAGAAGCCCCTGTGAGATGACGACTGCATCCACAACCAGGGCTGCAGCCAGAGGTGTGGAGCTGAGACTCGAAGAGAGTTCATGTAAGATGACCCGCTGTGTTGATTGAGCAAGTGCAGTTATTATTATTTTGTTTTTGGGATTATTGAATAAGACCGGAGGTTTGGGTAAGGCTATTAGGGGATGGAGGAGGCCTCATTTTTGGGGACCCACTCCAAAGTGGGAGCCCCGGCGCCAGTGAGGGCACAGCTTTTGGGGGCACAGACCCCGGCACCATTGAGGCGCAGAGGGAGACAGGGCCGCAGAGAGCCCGAGTGCCAGTAAGGGTGCAGTTTTGGGACAATCTTAAAAAGGCCAGGGTGTCCTGGTGCACCTGGGGGTGCAAGTATATATTTTTTCTATTATTTGGACTGGTGGGGCTGTACCCTGGTTTATGAACTTGCAACCCCCTGGCTGTGCGGCTGGTGCCCATGCTTCTGGGCCAGGGAGTGCCGTGCTTTAGAAAGGAGCAGAAAAGGGGGCCACGAGCCTCCAGGCACTGGAAGGAAAAGCTAGAGCCTTGGAGTCGAACCCTGTTTAATGGGTTTGGATGGGGAGGCCTAGCTAGAGAAAAGGGGTCAGGCCATCCTAGGAGAGACCACAACATACCCAATATAATAGGCAGTCTCCCGCTCGCATAATAATTTCCATCAAGACATGGCAGGCGAGATTAGGGCAGGACAGAAGAATTCCAAGAGGGCTCCAAGGGCCCCCCACGTAAGGTGCGGATGACCAGGAAGATGGCGCTGG